GATCCGCCGACGAATCCCAAACCGGCGCCCTCGGTTGAGACATCCTCACAAAACCGGCCCCGGGGGAGGTGCCCAGAGGAGCCCAGAGCGGCCTCGCACCGTTTCCGGACAGATCCCGTGGACCCGGTGGATCCGGCGATCCGCCGACGAATCCCAAACCGGCGCCCTCGCTTGAGACATCCTCACAAAACCGGCCCCGGGGGCGGTGCCCAGAGGAGCCCAGAGCGGCCTCCGGCACCGTTTCCGGACAGATCCGCTGGATCCGGTCCGCCGACGAATCCCAAACCGGCGCCCTCGCTTGAGACATCCTCACAAAACCGGCCCCGGGGGAGGTGCCCAGAGGAGCCCAGAGCGGCCTCCGGCACCGTTTCTGGACAGATCCGGTGGATCCGCTGGATCCGGTGGTCCGCCGACGAATCCCAAACCGGCGCCCTCGCTTGAGACATCCTCACAAAACCGGCCCCGGGGGAGGTGCCCAGAGGAGCCCAGAGCGGCCTCCGGCACCGTTTCCGGACAGATCCGGTGGATCCGCTGGATCCGCTGGATCCGGTGACGAATCCCAAACCGGCGCCCTCGCTTGAGACATCCTCACAAAACCGGCCCCGGGGGAGGTGCCCAGAGGAGCCCAGAGCGGCCTCCGGCACCGTTTCCGGACAGATCCGGTGGGTGGATCCGCCGACGAATCCCAAACCGGCGCCCTCGCTTGAGACATCCTCACAAAACCGGCCCCGGGGGAGGTGCCCAGAGGAGCCCAGAGCGGCCTCCGGCACCGTTTCCGGACAGATCCGGTGGATCCGCTGGATCCGGTGACGAATCCCAAACCGGCGCCCTCGCTTGAGACATCCTCACAAAACCGGCCCCGGGGGAGGTGCCCAGAGGAGCCCAGAGCGGCCTCCAGCACCGTTTCCGGACAGATCCGGACAGATCCGGTGGATCCGCGCCCCGGGGGAGGTGCCCAGAGGAGGAATGACGAGGAGGAGGAGGAGGAGGAGGAGGAGGAGGAGGAGGAGGAGGAGGAGAAGATGATGAAGCTGTGGGGTGGAGGAGGACAGACGGAGGCAAGAGAAGGATGGAGGAGGAGGAGGAGGAGGAGGAGGAGGAGGAGGAGGAGGAGGAGGAACCTCATCCTCACCCTCGCCAACAGGCGCACGCACCTTCTTCTATACACAGAAACTCCCGATCAACCGCAGATCGGCCGGCTGGTAATCCTCGTCATTATCGTAATCATCATCATCACCACCACCGCCACCATCGTCATAATCATCATCACCATGGTCGTCATCATCAAAAACATGATCATGATCATCATCAACATCATCATCATCGTCGTCATCATCTTCGTCAGCGTAGTCGTCGTCATCGTCATCGTCATCGCTACCATAGTCAATATCGTCGTCGTCGTCATCATCATCGTCGTCATCATCATGATCAGCAGCATCATCATCGCTGTCATCAGCAGCAGCATCATCAACATCATCAGCATCATCATTATCATCGCAATATCATCAGTATCATCATCATCATCATCATCATCATCATCATCATCATCATCATCATCATCATCACCGTCTGCATCATTTTTCCTCAGCGACATCATCATCACCATCAACATGAGTAGCATCGTCATGATAGCATCAGCAGCAGCATCATTGTCATCACACTCATCAGCAGCATCATCATCATCATCATCATCAGCATCGTCATAATCATCAGCATCACCGTCGCCATCACCATCCCAAATCATCCTAAATAGCTGTAGTACTCCTCCTCCTCCTCCACCTCCTCCTCCTCCTCCTCCTTCTCCTCCTCCTCCTCCACCTCCCTTTGGCTAGAACATGTGTTGCGTTTCCCGAAGAGGGGCGGGCCAGGGGGGCGCGGCCGTCTTGAGCGCCCCAGAATGGAAGTCGGACAGGTCCTCCCCGCAGAGCCTCGCACGGAAAGGGACGGAAATTGAGCCAAGAGGAAGAAGCAGGAAGAGGGACGGGAGTGGAGCCAAGAGGATAAAAGAAGAGGGGGCGACAGAAGGATCGGCGGCACGCCCCCGGGGGAGGGCGGAGAAGTGGGTCTTCTTGGAAGGACCCTGGGACACACAAATAAATAGACACTGGTAACAGGATTCCCCATATTTTCCTATATTTTCTGCGTTTGGGGTTTGTTCCCCTTCTTCCCATATTTTCCTGTATTTTCTGGGGGATCGACGATTGATTGTGTCTGTGTGTATTTTCCCCTCCTGACTTCTTCGAAAGCTCAGCACACCTCCGGCCTTCCGAGAAGATCTCTAAGCCTTCTGCGGAGACACAGATGGCCTCTCACAAAGACGAAGGCCTCCGTAAAGCCCCGCTGAGAAGGCCCGCCGCCCCCTCTCGCGTCCCGCCTGAGCTCGCCGGAGAAAGAAGGAAAGAGAAGGAAGAGGGATAAGGGAGAAAAGAGAAGAAGGAGGGCGCACCACCTCGGACAGCGGGTCCGTCCTGCCCCGCAGGATACAAGCTCCCGCTGGGTCAGCCTCTCACCGGCGGGAAGCGTCGCTTGAGCAGCAGGAATGGAAAAATCCTCCCCCCCGGCGCGATGAAAAAGGGACCCCGTTTGGAAAAATAACTGAACGGGCGTGGCGATGAGGGCGTGAAACGCCCCCTTTTGCGCGCACGTGTTGCAGAGGGCCATCGGCTTTGATCGCGCATTCGCACGCGCGCCTCGGTGCCCTGGGGAAGAAGGCACCGCGTTGGTGCATCCCCCTCGGCGGCCTGGTGCTTGGGCCGCGAAGTGCACGGAAAGAAACGGCGCGGGGTTGAGCGATGATGCGCTAAAGGTGAGCAGCAAGTCGCGGATGGAGGTTCCCCTGGAGAGCCACCGCCCGGCAAACAGGCGTGCGGAAGGCCTGTTGGAATTCCTTAAATGCGGACTGTGCCCTTCGGAACCTGTTACGGAAAGGTCGTGACTGTTGCTGGATGTTGCTGGATGCTACGCAGCGAATGTGCGAGACTGGAGGCGCGCTGTTGAAGCGCGGTGGTGCGTGTCGCTTGCGCGCCTGGCCGCGATGAAGCGTTGCCTGAGGGCACGTCTCCGATCGGTGAGCTGCGCTGGTGTCACTCGGGCACCGACACCCTGGCGGGCGGTGCCAGAGCCCTCGGCCCCTGTTCCCTGGAGGCCAGGGGAGTTTGCCCGATGGCAGGATGCACTGCGATAGGGTGCCCGGCGCGCGCCAGCACTGGCCAGCCCAGCAAACAGGGGCGGCGGTGGCCCCTCGGGCGCAGCCTGCGACCCATCACCGATCATGCGCAGGTCCTCCCCCAGGCGATTGGCGAGACAGGCGCGGTTGTTCTCTGGAGCGCGGCCAGCGATGGCAAATGGGGAGAACGGGGCCCGCGCTGCCTCCCGCGCGGTCCAAGCCCGAGTTGCCCTGCGGAGTTCGCGGCGAAGCAACTGAGGCGGGGCCCCGGTGGACCATGAGTCGCCATTGCCTTGAACAACATTGGACAACAAGGCGCACATTCGTCGTCCGCGTCGCGACAAACGTTGTCGCGACTTCCTGGTGAGATCGAGGGCCCCCTCGAAACCGAGTCGGCGATCTTCGCCTCCTTTTAACTTGGCAGGGGGGCCCCACAGATCGCCGAGGTCGTCAAAGAATTCCGGCCGCGCGCAAGCGCGGGGCGGGCCCCCGAGCGGGCCTGGCGGCATGGCCCAGCTGCCCCCTACGGCGAAAAAATGGGGTTCTCATGCACTGAAGTTCCGAGCAAGAGACGCCAGCCCCTCTGCCTGGAAGCGGCAGCGCTGGGCGTCGACGGCCACGTCGCGACCGCCGCGCTGCAGAGGACGGCCGCGGATGCACGTCGCCGCCTGGCTGCGTCGATGATGACATCCAGACGCAGGAAGCGCGCGCGGGCTCTAGCGGATGCTAGCTCGTCAGCGCAGCGATTGGGAATGCCTCGGCGATTGGCGAGGAGGCCTTCGGCGGCCCCTTGCTCCCCGAGGTGGCGCTCGACCTTTTGGACCTTGAAAACGACGGCTCTGGCCCAGACCACCCAACGCATTCTTTGCCAGAGGTCGGCTTGCGAGCCGTTGGTTTGGAATGGGCTTCCTTCGAGAAGGGCTTCGAGCCCGTCGACGACGGATTCGTTGTCGACGGAGACGTGGACGGCCCTCTCCGCCGCGGCGATGACATGAAGCAGCGCGAAAGCCTCAGCGCGTCGCGCTAACAACGCCAGGCCACGCACTCGGGCAAAGCTGTTCAGCCAGTGGTCTGGCCTGCAGCAGACGCCGAAAGCTGCACTGGGCCCACGCCCACCTCGCTGCGGCGGCGGGGCCAGGGCACTCCGAGCAGCGTCCCGGCGGAAGTCCAGGGATGCGCGGCAGGAGTTCGTCATAACTGAACTTGGCCTGCAAGTCGAGGAGTAGGGCGCCCTTTTTCCCAAGGGGCCGCAGCGCGGCGCGCGCGGCGGGAGGTCTCTCCACAGCTCATTGTTGCCAGGGCCGCTCGCTCCTGAGCCCAGCAAGGGCATCTCCAAACGGTGATCGTCTGAGTCTCCTCTTGTTGGTTGCACCAACGGGGCGATGGGTCGGCCGAGATCCTGGCCCGCACCCTACTCTTAGCGGGCGAGGCCGCCGCCGCAGAGGTAGTTGCACGGGAGGCCGAGTTGCCACGCAGCACATGTGCCTTTACCCTTGACAGGTTGCAGCCAAGCGCCGGCGAAGTAGTCGAGGCCATTTCTAACTGCAGCCACCGCTTCGAGGTCCTGTCTCGCGGCGGGGACTCGCGTGAAAAAGGCGCGCCTCTGCGGTGTCCCGAGCACACATGAGCTTATCGGGGGGCACGCGCAACCACGAGGGGTGCGCGTCCCAGTCGTCGCACATCGCGCCGAAGGTTAACGAGCTCCATGTCAGTTGGGCGGTGGTTTGACAGACCCTGCCGATGGGGCCACATCATTGGACGGCTTGCGCGTGGTCGGGCACCTTGTCGGCTTTGGCGTTGCGACGGGTGTCTATCCACACCTGCCTGCGCGCGACGAAGAGGGCCCCCCGCTGCGCGATGGCGTTTCGATCCAAGGCATGACCTGGGACAATGAGGGCATAGAGAGCCCACTAGGAAATCCGTGATCGCCCCTTGGGGCGATTGGCGTCAAACAGCGCGTTTGTGTAGAGGTTGCGTGCTGTCACGCTGGGCGATTGGACGTCGGTGCCCGCGGCGCAAGTGCTTGCGATCAGGGACCTTACAAATTTGAGCTCTTGCGCAGCTGCCTTCAAGGAGGCGACCGACGCGGAGAAGTCTGGCCACCGCTTAGCGAACTCGGGCGTCGGCAGCGGCGGAAAGACGTGGCCCCAAACCAGATCCACCTGGTGGCGCGCGTGGAGGGGGGGCCATTGAGGTTTAGGGCTACCTCCTGGCGGCGGGGCTGCCGCCCAACCGCCCACCCCATCACTTTCCCTACATGGTTCTCGCGGCCCTAGAGGCGATCAAAAAGGAGCGCTTCGCAGAGCGAAACTTCCAGCTCCCTGTCAACAAAAACAATCGAGTTAATGTCATCAACGAACGCGGCGCTGAAAGGGCGCGGGACCCGCCGGCGCACTCGCTTCTTTCAAACACACATCGGAAAATTCATGTCGACGAATGAGACGGAGCTGCCATGGGCATGGCTGCTGGGGCGCACTCAAAGTTGCGAGCGCGCCCCTCCTACGCGGATGCATCGTTGATGGATGGCGCAGAAGAACCTTCCGACTTGGACCATATTTGGCGGGCGCCGCGCATGGAGCGCGAGGTCGAGGCACAGATCCGCAACACGGCAATCGAAACACTTTTGCCTGTCCAGCGCCGCTCCCGCGAGCGGCACCTGCAGGTGCCAGGTGACATCGCTGATAGTGAAGCGGGGGACCTCACCGAAGCGTGCAAGGGGGGGGCCAGTGCAGGAGTGCTTACGGGAACCCCCCGTGCGCCGCAGAGCTCGCAGCGCTCTGGCGAACGGTCGTGAAACCCCGTCTGGGAGCGCCTCGGCTTCCCTTGCGACCCACCCATAACGCCACCCGCTCTGGCCGCAGAGCGGGGGCGGATGACATGATGAGGCATCACTGGCGAGGCTCAACGTCTGGGCGGGAGCTGGGTCGGGAAATTGCCGATGGTCCGCCGCCTTAACAAGCGCCCCACGCAGATTGCTCCGTCGGATCTGGGCCTGGCACTGCGGCATCGCCCTAATATTGGTTCCCTGGTGTCAGCACTGAGTTTCAGCATAGCTTTGGCCTCAGCAAGAATGCTGCTCGATTGGCTCAACCAGGCTGGAATTTGGCTGTCCGAATCGCCCAGGCTGTCCGAAATCGAATCGGAGGGGCGCCAGCTGAGGAATCGTCGAGATGTGGTTGTAGGCATGGCGGCCCCTCGTCCCTGTTGCCAGTGCAAGTCCACGTGCCCAGTGGCGCGCGGAGAAGGCAATGGGCGGCGCGCGCAGGTAACAGGTGCCAACGTTGTCTGCGGCCTTGACCAGCCGTTTCAGCCCTGCCTCAGTCAGTGGCCCATGCGGTTGTGCCGCGCAGATACGTGCGCGGCCTTGTCGCCTTGGCGACACCTTTGGCGTTCAGATTTCGTGGCCGCTACAAGATTGTCCAGCTCAGCTGAACGTCAGTGGGCAAACCTCCAGGGCCACACATAGGGGAAACTCCGCGAGGCTAGTCGGCCGACGCCGCTGCGCCAGCAGGCTGGCGGCCGCCCAGGTGCGTTTGGCGAAGTTCCACATCTGGACACGGCCCGTGCCAGGCATGTCATGGCAAGCCTGGCGGATAAGCAGGGTGGCTTTACCAGCCCCATGTTGTCGTCGCAGCTCGTTGGGCGCAGCGGTGTCTCAATTTGCTGCCTCCGCGGTGTGGGTCCACCAGTGGGGCGGCAAACGCGCTCTCTCGTGTCTCGCTTGGTTCCCTGCGCGGCTTGCCCCGGCTGCGTTGGGCGAAG